GTGATTAGACATGCGGTAGTCCGATGTTCCTAAGGTATTTGCCCTCCACTGGATGCGCTATACGCACGCCGCTGACACGCTGTATGCCACACAGCCAGTCATACGCTTAATCACAGACCCAGCCAATCGTCTGTCTCTGTGTGATTATGTAATAATCGGGCGCTTTGTAGTTACAATCTGGCACAGCGCTATTATAGCCACGCGTGTGGCTGGCTGTATGGCGTACGGCGAGTGTATCGCGTGTCAAGCAGATGGCGGCAAGTAGGGAAATGATTGGATGTTGCCATCGGATAAGAGCAATGGACCAAAGGATAGCAAGGTATCCAAGGCCTCTAGTTCATTCCTGTTCACATCTCAAATGAGCGAAGGGAAATGCACTGCTCGCCGCAATCCCCCCCCCCACACACAGAAACAGCACTCTCAGATAATAAAGCAGGTGTCATTGCACCTATGTAGAGATTATGGAGTGTCCAAAGACGAACCATGATAAAGGCTAATACTGGACATAAACATTATTGAGCCCCAAACACAGCAGGTTGAGCATAATTATGGTCAATAGAGCATAAAGAATGAAATTAAAGTATCCGAAGTATATCTGATAACTCAAATTCACAAACTGAAACCCTTAATTGATAACATTATCGTAAGACTCCTAATATCTTTGAAATTAACATTCTGGAGTTGTCGTAGGATAGCAACTTGACATATAAGGATAGTAACAGGGTAATGTTGGATGGAATGGTGGATAGAATGGATGATGATAATAGTTATACCATGGCATTGGAAGACCCTCATTTGTTCTCGGAGAGTTTGGAATGGGCAGGCATGGGTGCTTGCCAGGGAACAAAATGGGTTCCTGGCAGGTGGTTCAGCGATTTTACTTCGATTCGACCAATTGGTGAGATCGTTGTTGGTGATGGCTTGAAAATGAAAAGTGGGCTGGTCGACAGGGGGTGTTGGGTGGTGGGTGCTAGCGGGTTGAGGGGTGTGGGCTGGCTGGCTCGTTTTCGGTCTCGTTTATTGATCGTCACGAAACTTTTGCAAAAGGATTGTGAGAGATTTTATTAAGTGAGTCACTTCATTGTTTGATAGGCGTTAGGAGATGAAGGTGTGTGTAGTCGAACCTGAACAGAAATGTCGCACTTTTCCGGACAATTACTTCATGATCAAACCGTAAATGAAGAATGCGCTTTGAATACGCTTTATAAATCTTTTGTTATGCTTGGTTTTGGCGCGACACTAATCGGCGAGCTATCGGCATAATTTGGTGCGACCAAGCACTCAGGCATCAAAACCAAAACTTTCCGTTATGGAAGCAACAGCTCACGACCTAGAGCTTCCCGAGTCTCGTTATTATGTGGCATCTAGCGCCTGATTCACACAAGTTTCTGCTAAAGTTTCCAGCATGATGTGAAGTGCGTTCTCAAAAAAAAAATTGAAGGCGGTGCGATGATAGCTATGCAACATAAAATATCTGGAACAAAATTAGGTTACGTAATCGCGAACTTTTTGACTCCGATCCTTAACTCTTTTAGTGGATACCGGTTCAATAAGATGGCCTCAACTCTCTCTCCTCTGCGTTGAATATTAATGGGGCTAAGTTTTTTTCACTGAAATTACACACATACATATATTATGCAGGCAAAAGTATCCGATGTCTTAATTATGATTGTTTAAACGATACGGCGGAAAGAGGTCAAAAACTAAGAGTTCGGAAGCATTGAGAGAGGGAGATACCGTGCGACTGTGTCGCCTTACTCAACTCAACTTAGACTTCGAACAAAACGACCACAGTTCCGATGATGTGAAGGCAAAAGACAACGCAAATTGCCGAAGTCGCGAAGGTAATGAGACAAAAGACCAGAGTGTCACCGAGCTCGGTCAGGGGGAAGGTGTACAGTCTACCCCTTCTCCAATACTTCAACCATCAATTCTTGTCTACAGAAACTAAGTCTTTTCACCTTTCAAAGTGTTGGATGGTAACACAAGACTGGTAGGTGGGAAGGGTTTGAAAGCACGCAGGATGGCCAAGGGAGTGCTGTAATTCTACCGGGCGAACACTCTACCGGGGCAGTTCGGCGACGGAGAAGGGGTGGCATTCTGCACCTTTGCTGCTTCCCATCGACGTGTCGACCCATCTAGACATCCTATACTCAAGTTGAAAGAGGTTGCTAACTGAGCCTTAACAAACGTTGCTCCCCCACTGAACAAGAATTCACAAGGTTTTAAAGAGTGGACTTGTAAAACTGAACATAATTGAACAACGAGAATGCAAAGTTGCCCTCGCGCGAACTGCGCCCAGAAGCTCATTAAAGGTCTCTATAAACATGAGAGGAAGGGTAGCGTCATATGACAGAGATAAAATGATCACCATATCAATTCTTAGTAAAGTTACACGGAACGATATAGTTCGCTCAACCTTATAGCTGCAAGTTAAACACGAAGGATCCACGCGAGTGTTTCTGGTCCATCACATTATGAGGTGATGTTCGCATAGTGATAGTATATACAGAACGGGAACGTATTTATGCATGGATTGAAGAACAACCTGGAAAAAACCCACACTCACGTGTCTTTTGGCAAACGTGGTAAGCTGTTGTACTGTGTCATGCGGGAAGAAAGCGGCACCATACTCGTTTTCCAACAACTGTTGTCGCTTGCTCGCTTCAACAACTGATAGAGAACGGATTTGACGACCTGCCACACTCATCTCGCCGGGCAGGCCCCTCGATTGCACGAACAGACTTAAAGTTGGATTATATCCAAATTGAATTAACTTTTATATAAACATTCGCTTGACTGTCTTCATCAACAACATTGCAGAAGGTTGTGGTTTGCTGCATATCACGGGGAAGGGGGTGGCGGGGCGTACAGCAGACGAAAAATTGCGCCTAAAGCTTGAAAGAGGAGCTCCTGCTGACTCAGGGAACAAATCCCCCCGCATGAGGAAAGGTTTTCGCACTTTGAGAGAATCGGACCAGTTCCACAGTCCCTTCTTAATACCGCCCTTCCACATTTTTCCTGCCTATACGGCTCATTTCCAGATAACGTGACCTCACAAGAAACAAAGTGGAGTTCAGCTCAAAGGGTTGATGGAAGGGCGGGCATTTCACTGTTCTCCGTCCATCACTGCTGATACCTCCTGTAGAGACCTGCAAATTCCTGTAAAGCTATGTCATGCAGGAGGACTTTACACTTGACAAGATTCTACGGTCTTACCAGTAATGACGTGTCATTCAACAGACTGTCAAGAGAAACTGGTGGCGTGCAAAAGTGTCTCCTTCCCACACTCTTCCCCCCCCCCCCTCAGAAGTCGAACAGCGCCCAAATTGCAAATGAGAGTGGTATCTTTTCAAAGCTTTTCTGCACGACACTTCTTGGCAGTACAAAAATGTTCAGAAAAACCCTTTTGTAGCGGACTAGCGCTATGCACAGCTCTTCGCACAAGTGTGGAAGCTCTTCGAATTGAGAACTATTCATAATTGACTTGTTGGTAAGCTACTCTCAATCAGTTCACTAAAAGTTCAGAAGTTCCCCATGAGCGGACAATACATTGAGATACCTACCACGATTGCCATCGGGCAGAAATAAAACATCCGGTCATCGACCCTTAATTGAGGTTATCGAGGATTTTTAGAAACGTGGATATAGATCTTATCACGTTAATGAAATAATTGGCAAGGACAATAGGGAATTAACCTAATGACAGCATTCTCCCACATAAGCACTTTTGTAAGCAGTTCCAAAATAGAATTTACCCTTCTCATATGAGCCCAAAAATGGAACAAATACTTGCGTCGCTAATGTTAGCCGGACACAACTCCAGGGACGCAATGCTACGCTAATGTTATGCTTTACTGAAGAATCTGTGCTTTCAAAACATGTACGTAAAGGATGGATATTGATCATAAGCCAGTTAAAAACTACGGGAGACGGACACAACAGTCGTCATTTGTCGTGTCGTCGTGCGCGGCGTGCAGTACGATGATGCGCGACGAAGTCTCGATTTGCATCAGTACGTCGGGAGCAGCGGAACTCTCATGAATTCAAACGGAGACGAGACTCTTTGGGCGATATCGAATTCCCCCATCCGTGCATGCAAACGGTCAAGCAGGATAACTCGCCCACCGGACGCGGTGGCGCTCGCCACGCCCACTGATGCGGCACACTATGATTGTCTTGACACATACCCAGGATGCTGACGGAACTGGCTGGGATTCAAGAGCGATCTCGTCAAAACACGGTTAATTAACAAATCAAAATGTGCTTATTTACAAGTCGTGGTAATCCGAATTGTCCATTTCTTTGGCCTCCAGAGTCCCAGAAAAATCGTAATAAAACTATTCAGGACTAAACTTCACTGAAATAAGGATGTGAGGCTTACGTCCAACCACAATTCACTACCGTATCCGCAAGGTCTTTCAGCGAATAAAATGAGACGCCTGTCTGTGATGACCTTGTTACAAGACTTCGCGTGACCAGGAGCAACATAGAGAATGGCTTAACAGCTGTGAATCTCCCCGATGGCGTTCTCAACGGCTAATCGGCTTATTGGCCAATGGCAAAACTGTGAGCACACAGACAATAACCACTGCACTATGGGAAAATGCTGGTCGCCTTATTATGGAGTTCAGTCCTATTAGCGGTGATGTATTTGATGAGAAACGTCAAAATGTTCATGATAGATGAGAACAGCACGCGTCAGTACCTCGAGTAGCACAATCTGTTCAGAAATTCGGATCGCGCAGGAGAAGGCTAGAAGGTTTTCCAGCAAGTTACAAAGTGCGTGACATACACGGTGTGTCAAACATTTTTCTCCTTGCGGTGGTTTACTCAAACTATTTGCACTTATTATGTTCTAAAGTTATCAAAACGCGCTATTGGACAGGGAATACACAAATCTCATATAAAAGTGAAAACAAATACATGAAATCACTGATTATCGATGTGAACGTAACGAAATGATGAGGAGATCTTCGCAAAACAGCGGTACAAGCGGATTATTTGTACCAGCCAAAAGAAAAACTCACATGGAACGGATCGTTGTCTTGCTGATTATTGGTGACTTTCACTCGATCGAACGCTACCGTCTTGCTCATCCAAGCTCGTCCAGTGTCAACTGCACCGTCGTGATGAGGAATACTGCGAGCTGGCGTTTGCACTTCGCCCTTGCCGTTTGTGGACCAGTCACCCGCACTGAACTTATACCTGAAGAGAAAGATCTTAATCGGTTGGCTGAGAAAAGAAGAAAGACCAACTGAGACACCATCCTGACAAAGTATTGAGAACTTCCAGGTGTCAGCGGGTCGTTTCAGCTCTCTCGAACGCTACCACGAGAACTCCCTTACAAGTGGATATCGGGCACCTAGCTGTCAATTCAACAGAAATACACCCCTCCAGGTTCACCCAATAGAATTACTGCTGAAAACCAGGCCCTACTCCAGGAACGTGGCACATTTCGGTGATCACATCAGGGATTCGACCCACGAGATGGGCACAAGGGACCTCAATTTTGCCCAGCCATAATTTCACAAAAGGTGCTCCGAGGTGGATAAAAACCACTTCGCTGTGCCAAACGGGTTCTTCGAACCCGTTGAGCTGTGATTCGTCTTACTAATCAGCGCAAAAACTTCCTCTTTTTGTTCACCTTTCCCAAAAAAAAATTGTTCAAAGGAAGAAGTTTGAAGCTGTGTGCTTCCTATCGCCTCAGTGGTGCCAGACAGACTAGCGTTGTACTAGTGCTGTCACTTAGTTGAATCGGCATGAAGTGAACGATATCAGTGGGTTGCTACTTTCATAACGGTACTTTATCACACTTGACTCAGATGATTCCCACTCTGAACCCCGGCCCATTCCATAGCTGAGGAATAAAAATCTGAAAGCTGAGCCATCACAACTTCATTCCATATTCAGATTACTCGGCTGACCAAACTGTTCTCAAACTCATCGCGTTATACTGCGCTCATACTTACCATCAGCGTTTTGAGTGACTAAGAAGGTAGAGGTATTGCACGCAAGGTAGTAAACCGCTTTCAGCGACTGCACGCGAAAAGCTCAAAAGCAGCCGCGAAACGTTCAAAGCGGTAGGATACGCTCGAAACGCTAAATAGATATCTATGCTTTCCTAGTCGCTCAAAGGCTGGCGTCCACTCGAAACGCTTGACGGATATCTTTACTTTTCTTGTAGCTCGAAAAGGTACCGTGCGCTAGCATACTTTGGCGTAAGCTGAATCGATACCTATACTTTCCTAGTCGCTCGAACAGTCAACGCCGCCGTACGCTCCAAACTGTCAAAACGGCGACGCAAAGTATGAAGCGCTCAACTTCAACTCTCAGAGATACGAAATAAGTTATTACAGTAGTTATACACTGGAACTAACCTCATGTCATCCACTCTTTCAATGCGCAGCATAATCGCATATGATTCGTCGGGATTCATTCCGTGCAGCTTATACTCAATTTTAGGGAATATTTTCCTTAAGAAAAAAGTATATTATAGATATAGTTCATTTGTACTCATGGAGGGTGACAGGTATGGTAGCGCCATAGCAAGACGAGCAGGAAACTATACACTTTCTACTTTCTACAATGATTTCTATCCCCTTATAGTTAGCACTGTTTTCTTTTCTTAGCGAACGAAACTAGCGAAAGTGCAAAATCCCCCCCCCCCTTCGCCGAACTGCGCTTCGTCTTTATATCCAGTCAAAAAGCTACAAGGCGGAAAACTGCGCTTCTCACTAGTCAAACTGTTACACAGCACCTCCCTGTCTCTACGAAAAGAGTGAGTCTAGCACAGATTCAACTTCAAACAGTTCCCGTGGTACTACCTCCAGGACAAAAAGTATTGCTCACAAATCAAGGAGCACCATTTGGAGTTAAGTGTCAAATAGGCCATAAAACATACCGTCCACTTTTCGTGACGATCATTTCAGTGGTGTGCTGATGAAATTTGCGCCATAAACTCTCCGTGACTAGAGTGGCACTAACCGTTGAAGGAAATAGTGACATCTGAATACATAGAACTCCTTCTAAATGTTGGCATATGCGAACAACAGCACAAAATATTAACAGCAATACATGGGTGAATACATGATGCAGGAAGAATTCATGAAGGCGTATACGATTCTCGATCGAGATCGGATCTACCAGAAAAGGTGCTAATGTCGTTTTGATGGCACTCGGAAGTATCTAATTACCGTATCGGCGCCACCACCCATTCACGCCCACTCTCAACGTCCCGCCCTTTTTTGCCTAGAGCCAAATGCTGCGTTAGAAAGTTGGGAATGTGAAGCTTAACCTGTAGAAATATGTGCGCGATGAAGTGACGACCCCATCTTATTCCCGGTGATCTGAGATGGACGGGAAGCGAGAACGGTGGAGGAGAAATCCATTTTAGGGCGGTTCGGTGACGGGTGAGGAGCTGTCGGGAGGGGGGAGGCGGCATTTTGCACTTTTGCTGTTTCACTACTTCTGTTTGCAAGTCTCATTCTGGTGAAACCTGTGAACGCTTGTGAAGCTGGAGCAAGCTCGTCGAAAAAGCAAGGTGAAAATTTTGTATATGTGATGTTTATGAGATGAAAGCGCTCAGAGAAAATCTTTTCAAAATAGCGACTTTAAAAAGCTCTGGTGAAAAGGTGATACGCTGGAATCAATGAGGCAGGCGCACTAAAACAATAAAAAGTTGCCTAGGTAGCATGGATTTGCCTTGAGGGGGAGATCGGGGGAGGGGTGGGTGTGGACCGCAGAACAGAGAAGACATCCGAAAAACTGATTGCATATGAACCTGCATAAGTTTGAAGTTCAAGTGAAAGGTAGAACAAGCACTGTCAACAAGTCGGATGTACAAATGTAACAACAAGCAGCGCGTCATAGCCTTAACCCCGGCATAGAAAGTTCAGGATGAAATGACGAAGCGTGATCATCTCTGATCAAAAGAAAAAGAAAAGATTATCATGGAAGGTTCATATTCTCAGAAAAACCACTCGTGGACTAATCACAAAACGTTGGAGCCCCATGTGCGCGGTCGAGAAGAGCCTACCATTGCCCTATAAAGCAACAAAAGACTTTCATCTTTGGATGGTTGCTCCTGCATAATTAACACATCACTATTAAAATGCCAATTCACTTTCTTCTCGCCAGGGTGTGAAGCCTTGTTAAGCCATGACCAGTCGCAGCCAAGTTAAGCCGCGTTCATACTTTGAGTCTTTGCACAATAGAAGAATCCCGGAGCGTTCCGGTCGGCGGTAATGCGTGCCAGAGGAGTAGACGGGAATCGAGTGCTAGCATTCGATTATACTATGCTCTCAAAACGCCAGCGACCGAAGCTGATCGGATCCTATTACTACTTTAGCGCGCGCTCGCTCGATTCGCGCCTACTCTGATACTCCTACTCCTTCGATTCGGCTGACACCTATACCGTGCCCTTGGCGCGTATTCTATAAAACTCCAGTTTTGCAAAGTATGAACGCGGCATCAGCGGCTGGTAACAGCACGCTCACTATTCCTTTGCTGCATTTGCTTTGGCTTGTTACTGCGGCTTCAGACAAGTACAATAAATGCGGCTCAATTCGCCGACGAGAAGGGGGGGAGGAG